TCGACGAGTTCATCTGAACTCGCTGTTAATTGTTCCGTATGCTTGTCATCTCGACACTGAACTATCAATTGATGAAGATTAGCCATTTTGTTAACAAGATCCAATATACATGTTCGATTGTCAACCGAGATACGAAGTACTTCACACTGCATCCCTAATGGCGAGTGACTCAATATGGTACATTCTTCATTATTATAATGATAATGATAGTTGTAAAAATCGAGTCTTCGAATTGAAGCATGGGTAATTTCGAATGGTGCCATTTGTGTAGGGTACGATCGCCATGTTTCCATGCTTAGCGAATAGAGACGAGTTGCTCGATCAAGCAGTAATTGTAATTGACTTGGAAAATCTTTATCATAATTATACCATGCCACACAAAGTGAGGTCAATTGATGGAATTTTGGAACGATCATCCACAAATAATCATTGATAGGAAGATAAATAGTAAGATCTTGAACGTTAGAAAAGCTAATATGACACTGATTAAAGTCTTCAGATAGAGAAGATATGTATTTAAGTCGATGTACACGATCATAGGAACAATGACATTTATTATGAGGACAAGTCGATTTGAATATGAGAGGAAAATGTGCTGTAAAACGATCAAAAGCATAAGGCAAAGTGTATAGATAAATTGCAGCAACATCAGGATCCCAATCACATTGAACAAACCAACGACGTTCTTCAAGCCAAAATCGACTTTGAAATGAACTAATAAGTTCATCGACATATTGTTGCCAATTTTCATTGTTCACAAGCTTTCTTGTTAATTTTAGTCGAAATCGTTTGAGTTTGATTAAATGACTACGAATAATTTGTTCCCATTGGCGTCCATCAACAGAAATATCGTTAATTGTTTGAACTGTCAAATTGCATAAATTAGGCATATGTACTAAAATGTTTACTATTTCATTTTTCTCTACAGCAATAAGCCATGTATCGAAGTGAATTATTGACGAAATAATTGGCGGATAGGTTCTATTATCAGAATCGTATGTGAAACATGCAGAAAGATATTGAAGACGTGGTGTACATACGATCAGATGAGCTAATTCACTCAGACGACAACTCATATTCGGGATGATCAGATATTCAAGCGATAAAGAAATTATTTTTGGCACAGAAAATTCAATATCATCACGAGAATCAATATCCAGATAGCAATAGATCAGTTTGGGTAAACTCCAAATGATGTTTACAATGTTAGCTACATCAGTCTGGTTACATGGAAAGTAACAATTGTCCAATCGAAGATAAGTGAGATGAGATAGATGACAACAATCTAATATCATTTTATTTATTGTCGTGACAGAATTCAAATCATACAAGTTAAGTGTTCGTAAATGAGTAAATTGACGAAGAATAAAATTTTGGGCAACGAAACGAGCTGTTTGTCGTGAATTCTCACCATCGGAGAGATAAAGTTTAGTGATTCGATTGGCAATCGATGGAAGGTATTGTTGACAAAGAGTATCAATGTCATGTTTTGATACCGATCGTAAGTCAAGTCCACGAACACAAATGTGATCAACAAGGAGCATATCAAAGCGATGATTAAGCCCATAGAGTGATTGAAGAAGTTGAGCGGTGGATAGAAATTCGAATATATCAAGTAGTAGCTCATTTGCTAATGATTCGAAATTCATTTCTTTCTTTTCTTATACAGTTTTCGTTTGATTTTGTCAGCGGATCTAAAAATTCAAAAAGTGAAAATAGGATATACCATTGTATCGGACTAATAGAAAGGAAAAGGAATAGAATATCAATGCTTCTTTTCTTTTTTTCTTTCTGATCACTTTTACCCGGCTACATTTTTTATCTCTGTCCCAATAATGAATAAGAGAGCAATGATGAAAAAAACCTGCTCCAGCGCCTACATAAAGAGTTACTCCTTTGTAATGAATACACAATCGGAATGAAGCTAACTACTAATTAGTGTCCTGCAAGAATGATATTAAAAATGAGTATTCTCCAAAAATCATTCATTATACATTAGAATGTAATTCAGTGATAACAACTATTATTTTCTTTGTGATTATCACCTTGGAAAGGAGTATTTTTCAGATTATCTCGTGACATAGCATTATTATTACCTTTTCTTGAATTTTTTCGTTTTTCCATCAATATCGTTGGTGTACTAGTCTTTTTTCTCTTCTCAATTGTTCAGTTGATGAAGAAAATGATTCTCTTAACTTAATGTTACTAAATTTTGACATATAAAGAACTATTGACTCATGTTACTAAAATGCATTTCCAGCGACAATTTTTCTTGGGAGTAAAGACCAGCCTATGCTGTGCGAAGTCTATGATGTTGACAGAAGCTAGTGTCTCGTAATGGTAGCTTTTCTCAAACATGAAAAATTAAATAGTAATAAGATCTCTGAAAACACCACGGGAACGGGAACAAAAATGCTGTTTCCGCAGGACACTACACAACAGGCTTGTTAGTTGCTCTGTGATGACTCCTCGTATTATTATATTACCTTCTTTATTTCAAATACAAATACAATGAATCAAAAGGAAAAAAACAATACAGTGCACTCTAAAAAATGAAGACACATGAAATATATAAGCAAGACAACTCGTTTGTTTAATCAAGACACTTAGAGCTATTTCTAATTGCTCGAAGTCTGCAAGTGGAAATTAACAAAGCATTTACGAGAAGGGATTTTTTCAAACTTTGAAGTTAAAAATCAGATAAGCATTTAAAGTCTATCTTATTCTGTATTGTGTGTCAGGTTAAATCTTGGTACTGAGCCTAATTTAAATTACATTCCATTATACTTTACTTCGAAATGTTCTTTAAGAATGTTGTAATTATAAAATATACTTCTACCAAGATAATATCGACAATCTTAATATAATCTAGAAGGCAAATAAATGACAAAGTATTATATCAGAAATTGATGAACAATAAATTATTGAGTTTCATCTATATAGTTATAAATCCAATTGAGACATCTTACAAGATTAGATAAATACAAAAAAAAAACACATGTATATAGAAAAATGGCACAAACACAAAAATCTTAGTATAATTAGAGCTATACTGTTATATAGTTCAACTTTTTTTTTTACATTTTGCGATCAGTATTTCAAGCAATTTTCGATTAGGCCAATGATTGAGATTCATGTACGTGATAACAAGAAGTGCCAATATTTTATGAAGACTACCAATTCCAATAGCCACAAGCATTTTGTAGGGCGGATTTCTGACGAACATAAAGGCTTTTTCAAAACCTGTAACATCTGACGGCATTATCAAAATTGCCATCATAGGATGAAGATCAATTAAACCAGTCTAAATGAAAACAAAATTGAGACTTGTAATTTAAAAATTTGAAAGTTCTTTACTTTAAAGAGTACATGTTGTTCACGAAGATCTTCGTATAAATTTTGTATTGCCCAAAAAATCAGCTTCACTCATCTACATAGAGAAAAACTTAATCAAAAATAGACAACTGGTAAAAGAAAGATACTCATTTGATGTTCATGTCGAATTGAATATTTACGAATAATATCATCAAATATTATTCGAGCTTCCCTTTGAAGTTCTTCGTATGAACATGATTGTTTTTCATTAACAAATATTTAAAAACAAAACTACAATAGAAATTAAAATGACAATGAATTCAACTAATTAAGAGAACAATAGACTAAATATAAAAAATTACTTACTGCTTCTTCGTGAAACAGCTCTTGATATTTTTGTCATCAGGTATGTGGATTATTCTGATTAATTCGTGCAGGAATGAAAAGAAATAATCATTTTTTTTTCGCTTAAGCTGTCGGATATTTATCTAGTGTACAAATGATCGATTCTTTTCGTTACGATTTTGCATAAACTCACTATTTTCAAAACATTGCAGTGTTATATCAGTTTCAACTTGTTTTCTTGTTGTTTCCTCGTTGGTACTTGAATCAATAGTGGATAATCTTGATCTTTTCGATGTTGGAGACAGCAGTTATGAGATTGTGCGCTACGAGTAAAAGAAAGTAGTCTTCATATAGAGATCTTTTATTGACTGTTTACATATGTTGAAAAAACTTACGCGTGGTGCTCGGTCCATTTCCCCATCAATATCTTTAATCAAATAGTTTAATGTTGACAATTTTTCAGTAAGTGCTAAGACGAAGGAATAACGAAGAGATTTTGATAATGAATTGGAATATTGTGGAAGAAAAAAAAATATTCAGTAATTTTGTCAATAATTGGATTATAATCAGTTTCAATAACTATTGTTTTAGAACCTTGATATCCAAATATAATCTTCATCTAAAGGACAGAAATAGACATGAATTATTATTTTCAGATTAGCTATGCACTGTTGTATTTGTAAAATCGATTTTAATACTCTATCAATATATGTAAAACATCGATGTGATCTGCACAGTCACAACAAAAATATCCGTCGTATTTACTCATATGATGGTTCTTTCAGCAGCCTTCGAAATCTTCAAGCTCAGTGAGACTTTGTTTTCTTTTTGATTTAAGAAATATATTTATCACTAATTTTTAGTTGATTGCATTTCCATAAGGAGAAAGAATTACATGATGAAGATATGCGACATGATGAACAGGAAGAATATAATGACGTGCAAATGATACATCCAAGTAGTCAGAAAGATTATCTACTGAAAGATGCTCAAGAAGGCGAAGATCTCAAGAACACGTCAATAGATATTAAGAATAAGGCGAAAGATTTAAGTGAAGAACTCTCAAAGTGTTTGAAAAACGTATCCTATATCTTATGCTTACTCGGCTCAAATATCTCTAAACGAATTCAAAGAAAGTGTCGCTGCAACACATGTTTGTCATCTGTGTGACATTTAACGCAAGGATTTAGAGCAAGACATTTGCCATGATTTTCAAACTATTACTTTAGCTCAATATAGAGAATGGTATGTTAGAAAAATTTACTCTTACCTTGAAAACTTTTTTTTTCAGTTGTGACGACTTAGAACTTATTCGAGGTCGTAGTCAGTTGTTTAATTATTTATCTAAAAAATATAAAATAATAGAAGTTTGTTTGATCAGATATATGATGTGATGCACACTTTGTTAGAGGTAAAATAACGACTTAAAAGTTGTGATAATTCATACTATAGATTATATTTTTTCATAGAAAACGAGAGAATTGCTTATGTGATGAGATATATCTATTTCAAAGATTTAAAAATTCAAAAAGTTCCAGCAGACTACAAAGAACTTTTAGAGTAGTAAAGCCATGATGTAAGCTGTTTTCTTTGGAACACTATTGATATACTTTTTTTCTATTCAATCATGTCCTACTATGCAAAAGAAGAAAACCAAAATAACTGCAGGGTTTTTTTGTAACTTTCATTCGTATAACACTTGAAAAGAATAGATAAAAAATCGGAGAAAATTCTAGAAACTTGAACATATATCTAGAAGTAAATTTTCATGTATTCTTTTAGGAGTGTGCTTCCTAATCATCCCAACACATTTTTGGACTTCTGTATAACAAAAGGTTACTTCACATTGAATGGATTTCATCGGAAAGTTAATCAGTCTCCATATGATGAAATTGAACTAAATACAAAGCCACACCTCGATCTAACAGCAGATGAACTAAAAAAGCAAAACAATTGGGGAATGCCGCTTACATCAATGCAGACATTTTACTTATTTATTAAGTTGCCTTTCATTCTCAAAAAGCTGCTGAATTCATCGGACTTTCTACAATATAAAAAACGGTTTTAACTTGTATGGACATTTTCTCATTATGTTTTACAAATACAATCAATAGTATTACTCATGATCAATTGTAACATTTCACAAATAAGTACAATGATGAATTTAGAAAATTATATCAGAACAAAATAAAATTTAAATCAAACTTTGTGACACATTTTCCAGCAATAATGAAAGATATCGGACCTTTGTCTTACACTTCATGTTGAACAACGAAAAGAAAGCATTAGTTTTTCAAGGGAAACAAAGTTCACAATCTGAAGAATCCTTCATAAGCAGAGACTGCCGGATAATTTTTCGGCCACTCTCTATACGGTTGAAGACTATGTGCAACAGCTAAGGGCATTTGAAGTTCAAGAAACCAATAAAATAGACTGTTTCTATCTTGATGACATTTGTTACAAGAAGTCTTTCAAACCAGTTGTTCTCTCGAACGGTTCGCTATATTTTCCGTTAGATCCTTATCGTAAATCTTTTACTACTTTATAAATATTCTTTTTCATAATTTTTATTTGTTGCTTCTCAGTAACTATCTTTAAGAAATAAACTCTTTTAAAACATTAGTTTAAACTTACTCATTCAATTTCAGTACATTTAATGTTCCACACATAACACGACCAGGAATTAATATAAAGAGAAACAGATTCACTGTAAATGATACCACCAGCAATTGACTAATATGAAATGAAACATTGATAGCAAATAATACCGCACAGTGTAAATAAATCTAAACAAATATAAATTAAGCAATAAGAAGGAGGTATGTTGCTAATCCATTTTCTATTTTACAGTTTTAACAATAAGAAACAGCTGATCAAACCTGAGAAAATATAAATATCTAGAACAAATAAAATATGGACATGATACACTAAAGAAAAACGTACATCACTACACTGAATACAACTGTAGAAGAACGACTCCCCTGTGTTTAATACATACAGAACAGGAAAAAAATCTATTGGTGTATACATATGCCCACTACCGTATAAACATAGAATGTGAGATACAGATGTCATATGAGAATGGAAGAGTTCTATTGAGAAAAAAAATTATACAAGAGGATAAATTGAACAGATTTGTAATACTAAATGTTTAAATGGTTTATCACCGATTTCGTGTCTCGCCATGAACTCCTGTAAACAAGTAGTTAGTAAAGTTCGACGTGTTTCACTCGGCTTTTTTTGTTTTCTCTTAAATATGTTCCCTCGTAAGAAATATTTTTTAGTTGTTATATCAATACCGTCAAATACCCATTGTTGTCAATCAAGAACACGTCCACGCTCATATTTTCTCTTTCCAAAATAACTTTCATCAATTTCGACGATAATACATTAATTCAAATATTGTTATTAAGAGTGATTTTGAATTGGTGAAAAGAAACCTTGTCTGATTGATTTTTTCCCTTTGCATTTACGACAATAAAAGAGATAACCTATTAATTCAATAACATATACTAAATAGGATCATTTTAAGGAAACATACCATCTTCTTGTTCACTAGATTTACCCATATACCAATCATTGCAACCTTTAGAACATACAGTAGAGCGAAACGCATAAACAAAATATGATCTTCAGTATCGTCCACTAGCGAAAAATATTGCAGACGAACTATTTAGTCGACGACAAAAGTTTTGCTCGCTGACTATATCGTTTATTTTACGCTTTATAAGGATATTTAAAAAAAGATAATATTATTGTCACATATATTGTTCTTAGATAGTTCGTTACTCATATTTAGCCTTTTTTTCTTTAAGTTGTTTGTTTCAAATTGATTGAATACTAAAACCATTAAAAAATGCGAAATTTGACACCCGAAGAATGCTTATTTGTAGTGAAAGAAGCACAAAAACCAAACAAGACATTCAATACAATAGTAAACCAATTGGATTGTGATCGTCGAACCGGTTCTCGTGCTGTCGTTTGCTTCAATGAAACAGGATTATTGATTGAACGGAAAAGACCAGGTCGATTACGTTCTCTTACTGAAGGACAACAACGGTCGCTCTACAAGTACATCTCAAAAAATCCAACTGCAACTTTTAATCAACTTTCGAACTATATCTTTAACAAGTTCGACATTCAAGTTAGTGAACGTATATTACAACGCTGTCGACGACCTCTTGGATTTTATCCACGAAAACAACAAATCAAAGTCAAATCAAAACAAACTCAAGTCGAAAAACGTCATTTATTCACTGTAGAACATAAGAATAGTGACCTCAAAAAATGGATTTTCATTGACGAGACACAGGTCCAATTGCGTAACATAGGTAAAATCGTTTGGGTGAAACGTGGGGAACCAATGCCTACACTTGAAATCTCTTCTCTTCGTGCTTAAGTCAACCTATGGGATGCAGTTTGATGGAATGGCAAAACGTTCGCCAGGTATGATGGTTATATCAATCAAACATTATATCAACACTTATTAGCTTTTCATCTTGGTCCGCATGTACGTAAATGTCGTCGGTATACGGTGGCTCAAGATAAATTAAGATCATATTGGACAAAACCAGTTCGTCGATGGTTCAATGATCATGGACTCAAATTATTAGATTTGCCATATCATTTGCCATATCATTTGCCTGAATTCAATGCAAATGAAAATGTTTGACACTCACTCAAAGAAACAATCAAAACACCACAGCCAAAAAGTCAAGCGGAGCTGGAAACAGCAGTTGACCAAGCATGCCATCTCATTTCACAAAAAGTCATCCAACAGTGCATTTCACATGTTTCTATTTTATTTAAAGAAGAAGCAAGCAATTAACAAGACACTATGAATATATTAAATGTCTAAATATTAGACATGATCGAGAATTTCTTATTTTCATCTTTTGTATAAATAATTCTATTATTGAAATTTGATATTCATCTTGAAGCATCTTGAAACAGTTTCTTATCCATGTTGCCGTATATTTTCTCTTACTAAACAACTAATGAGAAATTAAAAGAGCGGACACCGTAGTAAGCCCAAGTCAGATGTCTTCTATAATTTAAAACCGTCCCGAGTCAGTTTACATGTAAGGCGTGGGAAAAGTTTTGCACCAAAAAAGTACAATTTTTGAACCTTAAAATTGAAATCTCTCGGAATTCATATGCAGAGATGAGCTGAAACTTTGGATATTTACTAGTGGCAGTACTCCTAATATACCTTGAGAGTTTTATGAAGAACCCATGTATAGAACCAAGATTAGTAGAAGCGTTGTATGCCTAAAGGTATCATTTTTGTTGGTCTTCGCAAACTACGAAGTCAATAGATTCTTCAAAATTATTTTTTATGAAAAATATTGTCTTACTAAGAGCTACAAATTCTGAAATTTTCAGCTTCATCTAATAATTTTTTGTATATAATATTAGATATCTGATGGAATCTTTCTGCTTTGTTCCAGGACTTTTGGCCAATGGATTAATATTAAAACTTATGTAAATTGCTACAGAAACGTTCAATTATAATGCAATTATAGTGTATAAAAGTTTGCTATTAGATACACTATAGAACATCACCATTTGCTTCTAATAGCTTCTTAACAAGACATTATAAAAGAGAAAAGTTTCTCTCAGAACTTTTGTCCAGCACTGTACAATACTATACAAGCAACATAGGTTCGTTCGAACATCTCGAAAGAGCTGGCAAATAACCCTAACTCTCGATTCAGTTCTCATGCACAATTCAGTTTGAGTTGTCACATGTCAAGTGAGACCTCTATGCTGTTTATCTTCCATAATCGTGTCTGTCATCTTTCTCTTAATTGCTACAATCGAAATTACTCAAATAAGGTGTCATCCATAGAGTACATGCAGAATAAAAGAGATGGTGAGGGTCAGCAAAAATTCGACATTTCTTGGCAAAACGGAAGGGAGAAGCCTGGTACGTCTCGCGATGTCAAGACACTTATTCCGGTTTTCTTTTATCGGTTTTTTTAAGCATTTTTTATGAAGGTTTCAAGATAAATTGGTTTAGATCAAATTTTTCAAAAGAGTAGTTTCTCAGACTTCTATAACATCTCACCTACAGATAGATCACGGATATCGAAAATACATCAGTCGTTTAACATAAAAATGTAGTACATTTGAGCAAATAGGATCTTGTTAAGAAATTTTGGAAATTTGACATTCACGGGAAAAGAGTGTGTCAATCAAAGCCGGAAATTTTCGGACAGGGTAGAAGCTAGGGGTAAAAACATGCGATATTTGACTGGATGTACTGTATGAATTGACCGCTCAGCTAATCATTGACGTTCAACTTGTAATTCTTTTCACATTAAATTCATCATTAAAATACAACGAGCTTGTTATATAATTTATTTTCTCTACTTTTGAAAACACAGCGTCTAGAGAGCGGTTTCTTTTAATTATTTATAATGTTATGAAGTACATAAAATTGTATTCCAATTCGCTGAATCTGTAAGAATTTGCTGGCTACATGTTTTAACAAAATAATTAATACTAAGAGTTGTAAAGGAAGAACATTCTACTCAAAAGATTGCCAGATTTATATTTCTCTGCACACTCGTTACTCTTTGCAATTATTTTCGCAAGTTCATTACTGCGAAAAAAACAAAATTCAGATACCGGGAGCAGTCTTCAACATGCCAGATGTTCCATCAATCCATAATTTTTTCAAACTCTACATAAATGCAAAGAAACAACATATTGAAAACTAGAACTGTCGGTGTCACAGAGTGTCCGGACGATCCAAGAAGAAGAGGTTTTATCTTCATCACTGAACGTCTTCTCATAAGCATGTAAACATAAGATGATAATGAAAAAGAACGTGAAACATTCTAGACCGCTTTTTTTCCATCGTTAAACATCAATCGCTAGGCTCAGAGAATTATGAGGTCTGCAAAGTTTAATTTTTCTCTGCATGTTAAGAATTATCAAAACTTTTCTTTTAGATGCATAACTTTTGTGTTTGTCTTTAAAGACAAGTTCTGTAGACGAAGTATTGTTAAAATACAAATATCAATCCTGAAATCTTGAGGTTTGCATAAATCAAACGACTGCCCAGACTTTAGGCTAGTCTTATTTAAGATCTGTGCGATAGAATGAAGTATAAATAAAATTTCCTATTCACTGATGTTAGCGTCAACAGATGACACTCTATGACGCTCACTCTATATATATGTTTGTCATTGGCTTTTCTCTTCCTCCTTGATATTCTTCTTTGATCTCTCTTTTATTGATATCTCTCCTTTGTACGTCGTTTCTTTTCTGTTGCTGTTAACTTCTTTCTTCATCATCCTTTATGGTTACCATCATTAACTTTCTTCTTTATTGTTATTACCATTATTACTATTGGCAACATTGTCCAATTGTCTGTTTTATTTATTTACAGATAAAACATACACATTAATTATATCCGGTGACCATTATTAAAACATTACAACAATCAAGCCCGAGTAGACTGTTTTTATAGAGAATTTTTGTTTTTTTTTCAAAACAGACACTAACCCCAATTAACTATTTAACCTCCGCAGTATATGGAGAATGAAGATTTGATTAGGTCTCCTTGAGAGTCTCATAAATGGATTACCGATTGATAAGTGATGGTCTTAGCATCGGTGACGCAACAATTGAGCATGCGATAGATAAGCCCCGACACTTGAGCATTGACATTTAAGCTTCCCAACAATTGAGATTTCCTAGGTCGTGTGCGGGTGTGTCAGTGTTGATGTGTAATGCGGATATTCGTGTGGATGGCGTTCTCAGTTATTCCACACCCACAAGTTTTTACATTCATAATCTATTGAAACTCAAATGCCGGGACTCAAATGTCAGGACTAATCTGTTGCACGCTCAACTGTCGGGGTACCGTTAGCATCATGTGAATAACTGATCTGTTTCTCCGCATATACAATATTGGAAACTTCAAAATTATTCATTGCAGATAAGTTTTAGTAAAATTTGACACACTGATTCAAACATTCTGGGACACATCGAAGGAATAGGCAAATTTCTTTTTCGTTTCTACATATCAACTGTTTGCTATTAGTTGATTAGACTTTGAAATTCTTTCGCACACAAAATTGTGAAACAGTAAAGAGTGTATAGGATTCAGCTGATAGTGTCGTTCGAGACGCTCATATTGGAATAAATTCTAGTATATTCATGATATTTATGAAGCTTATTTTGATATTTTGTTTCTGTTTTAGTTTCTCTACTAAACAGCCATCTGTTTGAAGATTTATATTGTAAAATGCCACGAATGCAAGAAATATTGAACATTAGTTTTGCCTGGTTCCTACTGATAAATTCTCTATGTGCGATGCCAACTTTTCTTACCGGTTTAATCATTGGTGGAGCATACATACATGATTGTCGGGATGAACCTCGACTACCTGTCTGGTCAGTGGTTCTCGGTGCAATTGGAGTAGGCACCTACTTGGTGATAATTGGTCTCGTAAGTAATCTTTGTTGGGAATCTTTTTATCATCTACTATCTCCATTATTTTGCAATCTTTAGGTTTTAGTTGTTATTCGAAGAAGACATAATGAAACGAATAGTTACAGACAATTGCTAATCACCGCCTTGGGTATAACAATATTCTCTATGCTCTTTATCCTCATCTGGGGTATTATTGTACGTAAGAATACTCAAAATAAGATACTAAAACATAAATCTATATTCTTTTAAGGGTATCATTTGGACTTTCAACTTGATTAAATCGACCAATCATCAAAATGAATCTGTTATAATCAATTGTAATCAACATGCATTAAATTATGCTCGGGGAATACCATGGTTCTGCATAACTCACCCGATGAGCTTAGTAATTTATTTTATTTGCGTTTGTTGCATCTGCACAAAACATGGCAAAAACTAACCGATGACTGAAAGCAAGTTTTGTTCATGTACTCTCGAAGATTACATATGAATAAATCCAACTTTTAATCTAATATCTGAAATAAGTGGCCAAAGATCTTTTAAGTGTAGATATATGGTGACACTCTGTACATGATGAAATCGAAGTTTCAATTTGCGATAATATACAAATCGTTGCTTGTGTCATATTAGCTAAAAGGATTTATTGGAGACTCATGAAACGAACGAATCTTAAAAATGACACCTCAGACACTAAAAAACTATTTTTAAATGTCTTAGTCAACAGGACCTTTTGTGTGCATAGCAGTTTTCACAGTACTGATGAAATAGGCTCTCAGCTAAATGTAGTATCATTCTCACTCAAAGACTATCTGTGATAAGCTCTAGCAAGTGAACAAATTTGTGATTACTGATGAATGAGGATGTCGATGTGGGTGTGGGTGTGGGTGCGAGGTGTGAGGTGTGGATTTTCTCTTCACCCACATCCACACCCTCGAGCTCATTTTTTACTCGAGGCTTCACAAAACCCACTCTGTACTTTTCACTCACATGCTCACACCACTAACTACAAGCACTACAATTTGGGGAAAATTTGGGAAATCTAGTATCACTCTGCCAAAGCTCCTTACGCCGACTGCTATCCAATAGGGCGCCCCCTTAAACATGTGTCCAATTTCATTCAACAAGTTCTCAAGAGCCTTGCCAGCATCTTTCTAGACGATTTTCAATTGGTCTCTAGCAGGGTGTGGGTGTGTGGGTGTGGGTGTGAGTGTGGGTGTGGGTGT